TCTATAGTCTAGTCTATAGTCTAGTCTATAGTCTAGTCTATAGTCTAGTCTACAGTCTAGTCTATAGTCTAGTCTATAGTCTAGTCTATAGTCTAGTCTATAGTCTAGTCTATAGTCTAGTCTATAGCCTAGTCTATAGTCTAGTCTATAGTCTAGTCTATAGTCTAGTCTATAGTCTAGTCTATAGTCTAGTCTATAGTCTAGTCTATAGTCTAGTCTATAGTCTAGTCTATAGTCTAGTCTATAGTCTAGGCTATAGTCTAGTCTATAGTCTAGTCTATAGTCTAGTCTATAGTCTAGTCTAAAGTCTAGTCTATAGTCTAGTCTATGGTCTAGTCTATAGTCTAGTCTATAGTCTAGTCTATAGTCTAGTCTATAGTCTAGTCTATAGTCTAGTCTATAGTCTAGTCTATAGTCTAGTCTATAGTCTAGTCTATAGTCTAGTCTGTAGTCTAGTCTATAGTCTAGTCTATAGTCTAGTCTATAGTCTAGTCTATAGTCTAGTCTATAGTCTAGTCTATAGTCTAGTCTATAGTCTAGTCTATAGTCTAGTCTATAGTCTAGTCTATAGTCTAGTCTATAGTCTAGTCTATAGTCTAGTCTATAGTCTAGTCTATAGTCTAGTCTATAGTCTAGTCTATAGTCTAGTCTATAGTCTAGTCTATAGTCTAGTCTATAGTCTAGTCTATAGTCTAGTCTATAGTCTAGTCTATAGTCTAGTCTATAGTCTAGTCTATAGTCTAGTCTATAGTCTAGTCTATAGTCTAGTCTATAGTCTAGTCTATAGTCTAGTCTATAGTCTAGTCTATAGTCTAGTCTATAGTCTAGTCTATAGTCTAGTCTATAGTCTAGTCTATAGTCTAGTCTATAGTCTAGTCTATAGTCTAGTCTATAGTCTAGTCTATAGTCTAGTCTATAGTCTAGTCTATCTAGTCTAGTCTATAGTCTAGTCTATAGTCTAGTCTATAGTCTAGTCTAGTAGTCTATTAGTCTATAGCCTATAGTATAGTCTATAGTCCCTCAACCGTGAATACCCCTATTTTTACCTACAATTTCATGCTGTTCATATTGAGGAGTCTTATTATTATTATTATTTTCAGATGGTTCGGCTTATTTGTTTTCTTGACATATACTTTAACACTTTCACAGTCAAGTCAAAGTGTGAGTGTTGCTAACAAGGAAGTAAAGTTTTTAGTTTCCACAACCACCTCCTACTGCTTCTTCTGCAAGTAAACTATTTCTTTTTCTTATTAATAAAATATATGTACGAACATATGACAAAAAAGCCAAGTTACCAGGCGTTTAGGCTGACACAACTTGTGTTCAACTAAACTACAACATATGTTTTATTGCAACATTTACAACTACAGACTACCATTGCACTCTTATATTAGACGAAAATGGGGGGCCATAAACTTAACAATCGTAAGCCCAGAAAAGCTTTTCTTTTTTGTAACTTTCGACAATGTTTGGTGTGTTATAACAAAAATCTACTTCCTACTTTTTTTTCTGCTAACACTTTAACTCGGGCTACAGCAAATATGTGCCCTGTAAATCTGTTTTTCTTTGTTTGTAAGTTTAACTAAAATATATTTTCATTTTGGCTTTTTGCCAAAATCTGCTCAAAAAAAAAAAACAAAAACTTGGTTAATTTATGGAAAAAAAAGTTTTAGTTTTCAGTTTTCATTATTACACAATCGACGACACAGAAAATGTTCATTCCTACTATTTTTTTTAGCATTTGATATCAAACATTGACTTTCATTATGTTTGAATTTGAGTTTGAGTTACAGTTCAGTTCAGTTTGTTATGCACACACACAAAAACGAACACACACCTTTGAATTTCAATGAAATTGAAAGTTCAATAAACTTTTTGCCAACGCAGCCATATTTACACTGCATTACAATAAATAATCTACCCATGCACAAACACACACACATATACATACATATATACAAATAGTCAGTCTGCAACCTCTAGTTCAAATCGTTACCATCCAAAAACCCATCCATGGCGATCCAATTAAAACAAATAACGGAAATCAAATATAACAACGTGTGTTATTTATTATTTGTCATTTGAAATAATAACACTAACACATACATACGTACATAGATACATTTTGTTATTTATACCATGTTGTTTTTTTTTCTATTCAGCATTTAATTGTAATTGGTCAATTGTGACATTTTAAGTTAAATGTCATTAGAAATTTCCAAACTGAAAGTAAGCATTTTTTTTAAATTTTATTAAAATCGTGCTGCAGAAATATTCAATGGTTAAATTAGTTCCGTCATTATTGGTATTTATAACAGTATTTTTTGAAATATAGGTCATTGAGCCTAGGAGTAGTGAACTGACAGTTTTAGATATCGAAGTAACCTTAACCCTACAACTATATGATCTCTCTGATACGATTAACCCATGCCCGTCTATCCATTAAAAGTCTTATAATACCAAATTGATTTCTCTGAGCTATCACTGGCTCGAGTCCCCAGTTTTGAGTAGTCCAATTTTTGAAGACTTAAAAAATTAAGGGTATAATAGCGATGTCAAATCTAGCCAACATTTGGGTTCAATAAAGAGTATTTGTGGAAAGTTCCATTCCTTAAGATTTCGTCGCTTAGGCCCTATTGTGTTTGAAATCGGACCACATATCAAATAAACTTAATCAACAGGGAATATTTTAAGAAAATTTCAGCTATCTATCCCTTCCTTTTTAGGTCCTAAAGTACTTCCCACAGATCATAGACTGACTTACCTTATGTAATCGAGTTTATTTTATAATATAAGGTGAACAAAACCGGTTCAAAACTCTAATTCAGTTGGTCGATTATTTCAGTTAGTCGTTTAATCGTTGTCTTAAATAGTTTATTCGGTTGTCTTAAGTAGTTTATTAGGTTATAATACCTATCGGTTAATCAAATATTCTAAACAGTTACTCGATAAGTTTTCTATTATTTTAATAATTCCATCAAACGGTTATTGGCAAAATTTACTCGAATATTTAATTTTATTCGAATATTTAATAGGTTATTATATTCGGCAACTCGAGTATTATGTTCATTAACTAAATTCTTTTCATTTGAAATAAATGATTACTGGTTACTCTTATTTTAATCGATTAATATTTCTACAATTTTAATATTTAATCCGATTTTAAATTTAATTAGGGTTTTTAATCGATTACTCAATTTTTTAATAGATTTATCGATTATTATATTGGGTTACTCGAATATTTCAATCGGGTACTCGATTAATTTAATCATATTATCCACTGTTTAACCATATTAACGACTGTTTTTATAGGGTTTTTTAAACCGTTTCTCGTATATTTTATTCGGTTACTTAATTTTCCTAGTCGGTTAATCGATTATTAAATTCTGTTACTCGACTATTTTGATCGGTTACTCGATTAATGTAACCACTTTTTCTGTTATATTAATAGGTAATGGTTACTCTTTTATTTTAGTTAGGGCTTTTTAAGATATTAATCGGCTATTCGAATATTTATATGTAATTTATTAGGCTAAGGTAAGGGCTACTCGATTATTTTAATCGGTTATTTTAATAGGTAGTCAGACTATTGGCAATTGATTACATGATTAAATTAATGATTTTTAAAATTTTAATCGGTTACTTGGCTTGATTTGTTATTTTAATCGGTTAATTTTTTCCTTATTTTAATGAGTATTTAGGTTAAAATCGGTTACTCGTTTATTAAAATGTGCTAATGGATGATTAGAATCGGTTATTCGATTATTTTAATCGATTAATTGAATAGGTAATTCAATGTTTTTATAATATTTAATCGGTTACTCGTTTGTTTTAATCGGCTAATCGGTTACATGATTAATTTATTTACTTTCTCGTTTTAATAAGTAATTTGATTGTAATCGTTTATTTAATTATAAAAATCGTTTAATTTTAATCGGTTACTTAATTCATTTAATTCGTTATTCTGACATTTTAAATGGTTATTCGAATATTATAATCGGTTACTCGACTTTTTTAATATTTTATTTGATTATTTCAATCGGTTACTCAATTATTTTAAAAGGTTAATAGGTGAGTTATTAATTTAATCGGTTAATTGGTTACTCGTTTATATTAGTTCCTTGTTCGTATAATAAAACCTGATATTTTAAACGATTATTCGAATATTTTAATTGTCTACTCGATGTTTTTAATGTTTCATTCGATTATTTTAATCGATTTTTAAATTCTTTATCGGTTACTCGATTATTTTAATTGGTTACTAAGTTATTTTAAACGATTACTCAATATTTTTATTAGATTATTTAGATCGGTTACTCTATTGTTTTAAGGATTAATGGTTATCTCTTATAATTTAATCGGTTACTTGAATAATTTAATCGGTTATTCGATTTTAATATTTTATTCGATTATTTAAATCGGTTACTCAATTTTTGAAAGGATTAATTGGTAATTCTTATAATTTAATTGCTTACTTGAATATTTTTAACAGTTATTCGATTAAATTAAACGGTTATTCGATTAATTTAATCGGTTATTCGATTTTAGTATTTTATTCGATTATTTAAACCGGTTAACCAATTATTGAAAAGATTAATTCCTATAATTTAATCGGTTACTCGAATATTTTAATCGGTTATTCGATAAAATTAAAAGGTTATTCGATTAAATCAATCGGTTATTCGATTAAATTAATCAGTTTTTTCATTAAATTAATCGGTTATTCGACTAAATTTATCAGGTATTTGTTTAAATTAATCGGTTATTTGTTTAAATTAATCGGTTATTCTATTAAATCAGTTTTTCGATTAAATTAATCGGTTATTCGATTTTAATATATTATTCGATTATTTACTAATTTTTGAAAGGATTAATTAGTAACTTCTATAATTTAATCGGTTACTCGATTATTTTAATCGGTTATTCGATTAATTTTATAGGTTTTTCCTTAAATAAATTATTTTTCTGTTTAATTCTTTTCGAAATCTTGTTCAACTTACCGTTTTAGTATGAAATCGTCGTTTTCTGCAAATAAAAAAAAAAAAAACAAAATTTTATTAATAAAATTCTAAAATACACATAATTAAACTACAATAATTAAAAATTTAAATTATTATTATTATAACACTACTACATGGAACAACAAATCACAGCAACAACTCCAACCTCTCGAGGTCAATTATACAAAATTTATTAAAACAATTTTAAGCTCAAAAATTCAACAATATAAACTACTCCTTAAATAAATTCTTAACAACAATAACAAAATGCAATCAATAATATAAACAAAAAGCCACTTTGAATTATAAAATTAATATGCAAAAATCGTTTCTAATGCAAATGAAAGCAAAACTTCAAGGCATTAGAGGTGGTGCCTCTGCTCAGTTCTATTCTAAATGGTTGTGTTGTATGGGGCACCATAAAAAGCTAGCAACAGCAAAATAATAAACAACAGCAGCTGCTGCTATTGTGGCTGTTGCTACTGTGTTGCATTATTAAAACTTTATACAAGGCCTAGTAAAAATGCCAACGTCACCGTCATAGTATAATATAATTATTGGGAAACAACATGTTGGAAAAAGTCACTGACCGCATCAAGTGCATTTCTATTAAGAATGTGTGTTGTCGAGCAAAAAAGGACATTTTTAGTTTAAGGAAAAATATTTATACTTTTTTGTTCACCATAAATAAAATTACAAGGTAAATTTATAAACTAATGTTATATATTATTGACATGAATTTTGCAACTCTTAAATAATTACAGTAAAGTTAAGTAAAACTATTACACAGAATATTATTTAATCATTTAAAGCAGAAAAAGTGAAAATATAAATTTAACCATTTGACAGAATATTATTTAATCATCTTGCGCCAAAAAGACCAAATTTTTCCTTCAAACTATTGCTCATAAACATCAACTTTGAAATGTTTTAAGGATTATGTGATTTTAATATATAATTTTATCGAAATGTTGTAATATTTAAAACTTGTCTTGGGGCGTTTTAGATAACCAATTAAGCAAGAAAAAGTTTTTATTTAAAAAAATCTTAATTTGTTATTTAATAATTAAAAATGAAAAGAAAAAGATCTTACTATGATCTAATAAATATATTTAGTATGCAAACTAAGCTTAAAAATAGTGCAATAAACTTGTTGTAACTTTGTAATAAAAATATATACAAATTTATTTTAACAAGATGTTTGCACGAAAGTTTTTCTTACAAATAAAGAAAAGAATATAAAATTTTATGGGCGGATTACAAAATGGACTTGATTTAGTTTCTGTTATGTAAGTTATTGATAGTAAAATAAATTTGCTTTCAATAAAACGAAATTACATACGTTTAAAATTAATTTAACTAACTAACTAACTACTAACTAACTAACTAACTAACTAACTAACTAACTAACTAACTAACTAACTACTAACTAACTAACTACTAACTAACTAACTAACTAACTAACTAACTAAACTAACTAACTACTAACTAACTAACTAACTAACTAATACTACTAACTAACTAACTAACTAACTAACTACTAACTAACTACTACTACTAACTAACTAACTAACTAACTAACTAACTAACTAACTAACTAACTACTAACACTAACTAACTAACTAACTACTAACTAACTAACTACTAACTAACTAACTAACTACTAACTAACTAACTAACTAACTACTAACTAACTTAACTACTAACTAACTAACTAACTACTACTACTAACTAACTAACTAACTAACTAACTACTAACTAACTAACTAACTAACTAACTAACTAACTAACTAACTAACTAACTAACTAACTAACTAACTACTAACTAACTACTAACTACTACTAACTAACTAACTAACTAACTAACTACTAACTAACTAACTAACTAACTAACTAACTACTAACTAACTAACTAACTAACTAACTAACTAACTAACTAACTAACTAACTAACTAACTAACTAACTAACTAACTAACTAACTAACTAACTAACTAACTAACTAACTAACTAACTAACTAACTAACTAACTAACTAACTAACTAACTAACTAACTACTAACTAACTACTAACTAACTAACTAACTAACTAACTAACTAACTAACTAACTAACTAACTAACTAACTAACTAACTAACTAACTACTAACTAACTAACTAACTAACTAACTAACTAACTAACTAACTACTAACTAACTAACTAACTAACTAACTAACTAACTAACTAACTAACTAACTAACTAACTAACTAACTAACTAACTAACTAACTAACTAACTAACTAACTAACTAACTAACTAACTAACTAACTAACTAACTAACTAACTAACTAACTAACTACTAACTAACTAACTAACTAACTAACTAACTAACTAACTAACTAACTAACTAACTAACTAACTAACTAACTAACTAACTAACTAACTAACTAACTAACTAACTAACTAACTAACTAACTAACTAACTAACTAACTAACTAACTAACTAACTAACTAACTACTAACTAACTAACTAAACTACAACTAACTAACTAACTAACTAACTAACTAACTAACTAACTAACTGACTAACTAACTAACTAACTAACTAACTAACTAACTAACTAACTAACTAACTAACTAAACTACTAACTAACTATCTAACTAACTAACTAACAAACTAACTAACTAATTAACTAACTAACTAACTAACTAACTAACTAACTAACTAACTAACTAACTACTAACTAACTAACTAACTAACTACTAACTAACTACTAACTACTTACTAACTAACTAACTAATTAACTAACTGATGGAAGCAACAAACGAAACCGGTGCTGCTTTTTTTTGGATTATTTGGATTATTTGAATTGTTGGCTGAGCTCATAAGCAAAATGCCAGGGTATCCCACGTTGGGTTTAAAAAAATCCTCCAAGTCGACCTATCCATATATATAAAAGAGTATCGTTACTGACTGATTCATCATCGCACAGCCCAAACAGCTGAACCTAGAATCATGAAATTTTGACAGTAGATGTGTTTTTGGTTATGTAAATCCACTAAGGAGGGATTTTTGGAAATTTGTACATTTAGAAGTAAAAAAGGAAAAAAATCGAGTAAAACAGGTTTTCTTAATTATCTTTCATATTATTTGTGATACAAGAAAAAATTTAAATGCACCTGTATCTAGTCTTAAAATAAGTAGATGGGTGTCTGGTACTTTTTGAAATTAGTACTTTTAAGGGGTGAAAATGTGTAGCAAAGTGATTTTGGTACATTTTTTGGCCCTTTATAATTTTTTAACTAATATACAAAACAACATTTTTGTAAATATTTTGAATATATCTCCCAAAATTAGGAGACACCTGCTTCGTACTTTTTTAAAATTCAGTCCTTTTTGGGTGTAAAAGGGAGAAAACTGTATTTTTGGTACTTTTTTTTGCACATTAAGAAAACTTTTTCGATTTATTGATTATTAGATTACGGAGTAATTCTGTAATATTCATTGAAACAAAATTGTTTGCTTTTTCACTGGGGAAAAAAGTACCAAAAAGGGGAAAAACGGGAAATTAAATTTCAAATTTCAAACTTTATAATTTTTATAAAATTTGAAAAAGTAGTTTATTTACTCACACAAAATAAGCTATTGGTATATTAGTTTGGAACTCGAGTACTAAGGCCTATATAGCACCAAATTCGAATAAATTGTTTAGTACTTTTTGAAAGCACAATTTCTCTGGAACAAATTAATGCAGATTTGAATCGTTTGAGTTTTATCTGTAATATATTGATTTAAATTAATTTTGTAAACTTAATTCTCAAAAAAGTATATTTCTAAGCGAAAAGGGGAAAAATTGTACTATTTTTTAGTACTTTCCACTAAGGTAGAATTTATTCCACTTTTGATATTTTTTCTTTCTTCAAATGAAACTCTGTATGTTCTATAATATGAATTCAAAACACATGATCATTAAACATACACGGTCCTCATTGAATAAGCTTTTTTAAGAGAGGACTTTTTATCTCATAAATGGTACTTTTTGAATGTTCTAAAATATTCAACCTGGGAACATAAATTTTAACATACATGGTCTTGACTGAATAATATTTTGTAAGTGGTACTTTTACATTCTTCAAATGGTACCTTTTGGATTCTCTATAATGGTTAAACGGGGACACATTTAGGACAAAATTTATTGAGAGAGATTTTTGTACGTTTTCGTTTTTTCGATGGTACTTTTTGATATTTTGACGATATTGAACATAGAAATATAATATTTAAAATGTAGGGACCTTAGTGAATGAGAATTTACTGAAAGGGACTTTTGGTACTTTTCCATTCATCAAATTATATTTTTTGAATTGTCTATAATATTGAACATAGAAACATAAAATTTTTGATTAAATGAGAATCTATAAGAGGTATTTTATAGTACTTTTTTCAAATAGTACTTTCGAAATTTTTCTATAATGTGGAAGATAAACGAATGAAACTAAAAATACAAGCTTCTTCCTGAATTTATTCACGTGATATTGAACGTATTAATGGTCTCCATCAGGGTATAAACAGTTGAGGTTTAATGGTCTCCACCAGGGGATAAACGGTTGAGTTTTAATGGTCTAAAACGTTTGAATATTCTATGGTCTCCACCAATAAAACATAACCTCACTTTAGGTGATACGAGAGCACGAGGTTAATGTAGACAACATATAACTTTGAACTGTTACTATACCAGTGCAAGACAACATATAACTTTGAACTGTTACTACACCAGTGCAAGCGAGACGCAAAACTGTCGAAAGCCAGGTAACAAACACAAGACTGAACGCGTTAAAAAAAGAATCGCGATGACGCGAGAGTTGTTCCCCAACTCAGACCTGAATTACGACTCAAACCGGTGCTGTTACCATCTCAACAGATGTCACTCGGTGATGTGACACATCAACTTATCTTGGATTTATAAACCCATTGAGTATCTCTTACTCTTCGCGTAGTAGATCGCCAGTATAGGTTGGGAAATTTTCAGGTTGACATTCGATAGATGCCTGTC